ACAAGAATGGAAAAGAAAGAGGATGGCTACACATGTACAAATGAGGATAAAAAAAAGAGAGAAACTGCACCCTAATTATTTGTAAACAAAGGAAAATTAATTGTTGCCGAGGGGAAAAAAAAAAGCAATCTGCCCAAAAAAAAAGGGTTAGAGATTGTTAAGATACATTTTTTGAGTGCAATTTGAATGAAAAATTCATACAAATTACACTTTAAAAATTGATATATGAGAAATTATGTGCATATAATTTATGTGAAAATATTCATATGAATCGCGCTATACCTACCGAGAAATAATCAAATAATGAAGATATCAACAAAAAAAAAAGAGCAAGCAAGCCGCCACCTTTAGTTTTTTCTCAATATCTTCACAAAGCATCAAATATATATATATATATATATATATATATATATAGACACACACACACACTAAAAGCTCACGCTGGACTTGCTGTGATATTTGCAGTAGAAGCTATGAATAATGGCTCACGTGTATATATATACACGGAAAAAAAAACGTGTAGAACGGATGAGGAAAATCCAAATCTCTTTTGAAATTAAATGGTTAGCAAAAAAGAATGGATATACATCATACAATCGAATCAATCGGTTTAGAGATGATGAAATTTAAAACAAAACAAAATAAAGATAATGGATAAAAGATAAATTTCAAAGAAATTCAAAATATTAAATACCCAAAAATTTAAAGTGTACAAATTGGGTCCTTTATGATCCCTTAGTTCAAAAAAATGTGTTCATTGTCTCATAAAACTATATGGTGATTAAGTACAATTTTCAAATCTCAAATTCAAATAAAAAAAATCTCAACACCAAATTAAAAAAGGTTCCTTTTAATTCCCCATAAGGTCATCTACTAGGGAATTATCTAAATACAACTTTCAAATCTAAATTATAAAATAAAATTCCAAATTAAATTTTAAAACATCTTTGAATTCCTCATATGGTCATATATCGGAGAATTCTCCAATATTAAAATTCAAATTCAAGAACTACGATTGACTTAATTCCCTATCGGATACGTAGGCAACCTAAAATTTAGGTGCAGTTTCAAGATCAAATTCAATCCTAAAAATCCTCATAAAAGACAAAATCAAAACAAAACTAAATCAAATTTCAAAGTGCGTCAATTCCTCATAAGGTCATACACTGAGGAATTATCTAAAATTTTCAAACTCAAAATTTGAACTACAAGTGGCTTGATCCCTTAACAGGATATGTAGGCAACTTGATAAAATTCATTGAATTCAACCACAATTTTAAATCAACCTAAATTTCTCAAATTCACAAAAAATATAATTTACTGTTTTAATTGGAATAAAAAAGTTTTCTCTTGTACCAAGGGATTGTAATTAATAGGTTATTCTTATAATTTTAAATGAGTCAAATTAAAAATAATAAACTCTTATACTAATTAAATTTTAATATAAATAAAATTATGTTGTATGTAAAATATTATTTTAATTTTAATAAATATTTTTACCCAACATTCATCATTGATTCTTCAAGCGGAATAATAATTGAGCCATGCAGTCCTGGAGGAATTTATTATAAATCGTTATCAACTTGTTTGTTTATTATAGACAATTATGAATCGACATAGGTCCCACCGGGGATATGCGTCTCATTAAAAGCAAAGAAAAATACATAAAACAGTTGCTTTGTGGCTTTTTTTTTCATTCTTTTCCGTTTCCCCTTTATTTGGCTATCACATTCACAACCTTAATGAAAGCTTTGTGGGTGTTTGGAATGCATTTTGTTTCTTGTTTTCACATTTATCGAGAAAAAAATGAAAATGAAAAGAAAATAATAACTAATTTCCTCTTTTAAAAGAAAAAAATTGCAAGTTGACGCTTGACAGCGAATAAATTAATAGCACGTTGTACTTTTTACTTGTTTATTTGTTGTCTATTCCAATGACCCATTCACATTAAGGGTGTTCGTCGATTAAAAACGGTCGGTTTTGGTCGGTTCAGTGGCCGAATCGACCATGTCGGTTTTCTAAAAATTGGAACCGAATCCGAACCGAACCTACCAGTTTTCGGTTCGGTTAACCGAAGTTCGGTTTCAGTTCGGTTTTGGTTGGTTTTCAGTTTTGGCAATCATGAAGGTTACCTCAGTTAACCATCAGGTTACTAGGATCTTTAGTTGCATTTTTGACCCATAAGAACGAAAAAATGTAAAACTTTCCTTCAATGCAAAGTTGCAAACACGTAATCACAATAAATGAATACAAAGCACAACATCAAAATTGATAATTGCACAAACACAAGTTTAAAAAACATTTAAATTGTCATAAGTAATGAAATTAAGAAGTCCAAAGCATAATTAAAAAGTTCAACTTCTCATAAACCTCTTATTCCCCTCCATCTTCATCCGAATCCAAATCCATTATATCGTCATATGTATCGCTACAACAGAAAATTAGATTTAAGTAAATGAAATTGAATAGATGATGGGAAAAAAAGAATAAATAGATATACTTCTAATTATCTTACTTGGATCTTTTAGAAGATTCCGCATCATTTACTTGAGCGCCATCGTCATCCTTTGTTTGAGTAGAAGAAACAACCTCACCATCATCTACAAGAAAATTATAAATTAATTTACCTAATACATGAAATGCCTAAAAAATATATAATTACAAATATATGTAGTATATACAATTATGATTAGTATTACATGAGACAACATGATAGCAATCTACAAAAGATTCAACCTCATCCATATATTGCCTAAGAACCACGGGTTCATATTCTTCATCCTTCGCATTCAACCAATTTTTCAAGCAAATAAGTGCTTCCACCATCCTAGGAGCCAATGAACTCCTAAAAGGATCAAGAATACGACGACCGGTAGAAAAAGTTGATTCAGATGCAACCGTCAAATCAGAACTGCAAGCACATCTCTAGCAATTTGGGACAAGACCTTATACCTAGGAGCATTGACTTTCCACCAGCCAAGGATGTTAAAATTGTCATCCACTAGCTCTTCACATTGCTTAGATAAATATTTATCCACATCATTCTTTAGCATATTTACACCATCCCCACTCATCTTTTGCTTTCTAAACATGGCCTCTATCTCATCATCAATAACTGGCATTGAGGTGGGTTCACTAGATGCCGTAATTGTTGAACGACTTGAATTACAACCAGAATAAGTTTCTACTGGTGAGCTGACCTTGTATTTCTAAATCGAGGTTTGGCCAACTGTGATAATTGTGGTTGCTTAATAGTATAATTGAGGGGG